AGTTATCAGTTCAGAAGAATCCCAATTCTCATCTTCAGAAATAAGAATGCTAAAGGCACACAACATATTAAAGTATAAAAATAAAGATGAAGATAAAAATTATGGTAAATTTTATCCACTACAATTACCAACAGCAATTAAAATAGTATTTACCTAAATATTATTTGAACATGATTAAGCCACTTTTTAAATCTCATAAGAAACAAGGTTTCTCATAATATCTACAGTATACCTGTAAAAAAGTCAGACTGTCTTTACTGAACACAAAAATTTAAATGCTCAGTTTTGCCCTTAGATTCTTGACACTAGCTATGGTCAAGTAACAGAAAAATGGACAACATAATACTTTTTAAAGGAATAAAAATACCATTTGATGAAGACTTATTTGGTATATTTAAAGTAATTTAAGTCCCCGTGTCCTTCAAAATTTTAGGTATAGTTCTAAAACAAAAAGGAAAAGAATCTGACTAAAGGGAACAGTGTAATTCACATTTGCTGTTAAGCTACCTGACCCTTCATGTTATAGATGTGATTTCTGAACCTTCTCTGCTGAACAGCTTTCATCTCTGAATCATTTAATATAAAAATTCATAAAAACAGTAATAAAAATCCTAGATTTTATTAATTATTTCAGAAATATAAATAGTGAATGATCTCATAAGTATTTACCAACTACTTACTATATGCCAGGCACTACATTATTTATTCAAATTATATAAGGAAAACTTTGGGAAGAATTCCTTAAGACAGGTAATTTATAGTACAGGTGATTCACATTTAATTTTCTAAGTAGCTTTTTAAAAAAATTTTAATGATCTCTTGTACTTGCTGTTTAGCAACTATGTGGTGGTAGATACACCACCAGATATGTGGTGGTATCAAAAAATTTCAGACACAGTTCTATTCTCTTCATTCTATTAAAAATGATTTCCAAGGATATAAATGTGATTAAAACAGTCTTAGAAGTACATCTGGATCTAATGTAGGATTTCAAATAAAGAACACTCCAAAACTCACTATGTACACTTTCTTAAAGTGTTCAACATACTACCTAAGGGAATACCCAAGGACAGTATTTTATGATCAAAACTATTCAATTTTTCAGAAATTTATCATGAGCACATAAAATATAATCTAGTTTTAAAAATCTGTGAAGTCAGATTTAAAGTCAAATACATAGGCAGTGAGAATTATAACTTCTAAAATATACCTTTAAAGGAATTTTTTTAAGTTTCCTTTAAGTCTTATTTTATAAAAACATAAATTTGATCAGATTATACTCACCTACCCACCCCCAGGATATCTAAACAAAATTCTTTAATTGCTTAAATAGGTGACAAATAAATATAACAGAAGGAGATTGGATGTCTAAATCAAAGTTCATCTTAACACATCTCCTATCCATGGAAGAGTAGTGAAACAATGTAATAATCCCTGTAGTAATTCCATAAATCAGCCTATAAAGCTTTTATATTAAATAAATTAACTTAATTAATTTAAATAAAATTAAAATTTAGAAATTTAAAAATCAGTTCCTCAATCAAACAAACATGTTAGCACAGATATGAACATATGAATATTTCCATCATCACAAAAAGTTTATTGGACAGTGTTACTATAAACTTTGGGGATCTTTTGTGAATAACAATGTTCTTCCATAAATATGAAGCTTGGTACATAAACATTTGGATCAATCAATTCTTAAGTAATTAAATGAAAACTTCTGGGAAGACACTGAAAAATAAATTGGTGATCTGAATCCTCAACATTAAATTTAAAAAAACACAATTAGGTAGCAGCATTCCAAAACAAGTAACATGCATAATAAATACATTGCTGGGTTGGTGGGACCAGCTCCTTAGAAGTAGGCAATGTCTAAATCACCTCCCTTCAACTACCAGTCACAAAAAGCAAAACCACACGCTTAGAATGTCTGTCAAACAAAAAGGGGCTGGGTCCGATTTTGAACCTCCCAACTTAAGAAAACTCATACAAAAGCAAAAAGGTATTTTTAAAAAGATGTCTGTATGATAATATACCTTTTTCCACAAAATTCAAGTACAGAATGATCTTTTGTCCTAAATCATTCATTATTTCTTTTCCATTAAGGGTAACACAGGCTTTCTCGGATTCTTCTGTAGTTTTGTATCTTACAAACGAGTAGGGCTTTGCAGGTGGCATCAGGAGAGTGTCCACCACTCCACACGTCTCTAAGACCAGGAGCAGCCGGGTCCTGCTCACACCATTACCCAGACCACCATTGGCAACAACCAGGCTCTTAAAAAAAACAAAAAGAAAGGACCATCATGTTTATTTTTTGACTTCTTTATTTTTAAATAAGATAAAGTTTTTAAATAAAATAAATATTTTTAAATAAGATAAAATAAGATTTTTTTAAGTACAATCTCTACAAAGGGATACCTAAGAAAACTAAAAAAGGTATAACTAAGCATTCCATGTGGTGATTACTTGCTTTTCTAATTTCATACAAAGTACAAAAATCAATTTACTAAATAATGGGAATTAAAAAGTACGCCTATGTTGTAAATATTACTAACTTTTTAAATAGCCTTTTCAGTAAAATATTCCTTTTTTAATAACCATACAAACAAATTAAAAGATAACTCCTTCATTGTTCAAACATAAATTTAACATAATGAAAGAGAAATAGAAGAAAGGAGAAGGAATAAGGAGTTACACGAGACTTGCGTTTTGCCAGACCTGTGCGCCACATGCTTTTACCTACTTAATCCTCACTAACACAATCTTCACAACAGTCCTACACAGTGAGTACTACAGGCCCCACCTCACAGAGGAAGAAACTGAAAATCAGAAAATTAGGTTAAGGGAGTGACTAGGGGGAGTGAGATTTCAAGCCTATTTCTGTTAAGTTTCCAGAATCCACACTTTTGATATAACAAGGTAATACAATGTTTCCTAAAAACTAAAGTAAAGGTACCGGCTCAAAGAAAAATCAATTATAGGTTCTACTGAACACCAAATAGGAAAATTTTCCTCTGTACCTGAATAATTCAGTCATTTTGCAATTAAAAGTCTTTCCTTTGTAAGTTCATGCTTACTTCCTACTATTTGCAGTGTGGCACCAAGCTTTATTCAAGGGATTTTGTGGGGAGGGAAGAGCTCTTCTATTTTTCATTCAGATGGTTAAGGCCTAGTACCCTTATCATCTTTCTACTTACAAAGCATTATATACAGTGTTAAGATCTTTAATTTATGAGCTATGACTCCCCAAAACTGCAGTACAACAAAAGAAAACAAATGATGGCTTGCCCTCCCTCTCTCATCACATACCCAGCACTGGCAAACTGATTCTGAAAAGGGACAGATGGTGAGTAGTTTAGGCTTCGCAGGTCATGTAAGTCTCTGTCCATATTCTTGTTCTTATTTTTTAACCGTTTAAAAATGTAAAACTCATTCTTAGATCTCAAGTCAGACTTGACCCAAGCACAACAGCTTGCCAAACCGATTCACGCTATGCTGGAGATTAAGAACATAATGTATTACTGTCATACACACAAAATAGGAATATCTATAACCTTGTTTTAAAAGAATGTAATAATTCTTATAAAAATTTGATAAGAAAAGTAAAGCTCTGTTCTGCTATGGACAGCCAATACATTATATGTATACAGGCATACATGTACACATAATAAACAGTAATACAATAATATAAAATATGGTATAAAAGTTAGTCTCAGATGGCTGGCCCTGTACCTTATCCAATGAGGTTTATAAAGTACCAAAATGATATGGTTATATGCAGCCACAGTTACTAAAACATTTCCATTATTACCAAATTTAAGAAAATGCAAAGGTCTTATAAATATCAAGGGTCCAGTGCCCCATTTAGGAAATGAGAAAGATGGTGACATGTGACTTGAGGAATCCTACTAGTCATCAAAATGCAGTCTAAGTGATTTGTGGGCAATTTTGAAGGCAAGGCAAACAAAAACAAGTGCAGTATGGAAAGGAAAGGAGGCACTTGTTTCCTATTACATGTGAATTGTACAATACAATTAAATGCAATAATTCTTTCATTTGTAATTGTTCAGTCAAGCAACTTTCCCAGTAATACGAAATAGAGAACTCAGAATTTTTTTTATCTTCAGTCATGACAATTTGAAGATCATAGCTCTAAAAAATTTCACGATGGCTATAAATTTGAAGGAAGTCATCTACACTTGTGCGACATCATGAAAAGTGCATTTGTTCTCCTCTGAATGGGTAATACATATTTGGAGGTCCTTATACAATTTCATTCTTTTCTTTTAAAAATACTGTGGAGAAAAAAATCAAGAAGCCCAAATAAGACGACAATTTGGAAGCCAAGAAGTTGAGATTTAAGCTTCCAGAGACCATGAAGAAAAGACAGATTAAACCAGAAACAAGCTTCAGAGGCAGTAAAGAAACTTAACCTATTTCTTTTTCTACCATTTCTCTTCACAACCCCTGTAAGGAAAAGAAAGCAGGTTACGTTTGGGAAGAGATGAGAGTAGGTTATGTCAGTGTAAGCCTCTGAGTACCTCACAGCTTCAGTGGCTCTTGGCAGAAATAGCCAAGTGTGTGCAGACATATTAATTCTAATCTATTACCTATTCCATCATTTTCATAGGGATTGTTTTAAAATCTCTGAAGTCATTGATATTTAACAAAATCTAAGTATGGGCCTCTAACCTGCTAAATTTAAATTTCCCTCAACAGATTCCTCATTCCTAAACTCTGATGCGGCACAGAAGGCACCGTAAGCACACACGAGGGAATGGCACTAGCCTGAGAGTCTAGAGACCTAAATTTTAATTCCAGCTTCACCTTCTCACTTGTATCCCTTAGGCCCTCAGTTAGACGATGACTAAGCTTCCTTGCTATTCATATCATTTATCTTTAGAACCAGAAAGAAAATTCCTATGACATTTTACTGACTAGTAAGTACTGTCACATACACATTCTTTTTAGAATCTAACAATCCAATGGGATAAAATGTTATGCAATACTATGTCCTTATGATGAAGAAAGCTGAGGTCAAAGGGCATTGCTCTTGCCCAAAGAAGTGGAGAAGCTAAGAATTAAACTAAGTTCTTCTAATTCATAGCCGAGGAAGTCTCATAATCGTATATAAATTTAATTATTGCCATCAGATAATAAAAAGGCTTTGTAAATAAAGTCCAATAAATAAAAAATGTTTTACAGCATATAATCAAAATACTTTATAATACAGGTGAAGTCAAGAATAGAAAGAAGATTGCATTAAGATACAAAAGATCTAGCTTCAGTTTTCTATTTAGCCACTTTGTATCAATGGACACACCATAACCTCTCAGAACCTTAGTTTTCTCACCTATCTCATAAGGATTTTTAGGGAGTTAAATAAAATAATGAATATAAGTATGCTTGGTAAACTATAAACAGTTGGATAATGTTACTGTTATTAACACATACCCACAATTTCTAGTTCAATCAACACAATAATGAAAATTCAAACTATACTAAGTCCCAAAATAGAAAGTTCACAAGTCTTATTAAATATCGATGTAATACATGACTAATCACAGCCTTCTTCTCTTAGCAATTACTAGTAGATACGACTAACACATTAAAATGGCAATATATTTACATTCAGATGATAGTAATAATTTCAGGTCACCTCAGTGGCACAGGATACTGTCTCAATGCCTTCATGTCTCAGCAACATATGCCTGGCTTTAATCTGCTTTCTTAAGAACTTCTTCTCACTTTTACTGAGTTTGTAATTACTCTGATGGTTGCTGTCCATGGCAATACTGCAAAAATAACAGTACACAGTGTCAACCTTAAGAGTCCTAAAGGGACAGTTACAATGACGCTATTCATATATTCCACAGTTTATAAATATTTCTACGAAATAGTTTTTTTAAATGCTTACTTTACCTTTCACCAACCAAGAGAAGTGAAAACAAACAGCTGCATGGAGAATAAAGGAATATTTAAGAAAGTAGCAAGCAAGAACATCTACCAGCTTCTCTGGTGGTTCTACAAAACATTCCCATGCTTTAGCTCTATTCAGTGAGCTATTTTACCCACAGGTGATATATCGCCTTGCTTATTAAGTCCTAGGTAAAATATGCCAAGGACAAATTTCAAAAACAGTGTTAGGAAATAAAACTACAAAACAAAAAATTCACAGAAGAATATACAGTATAATACCACTTACGTAAGTTCAGAACCCAAAAGTAAGCCATGTATTGTTTAGAAATACATATATAGTAAAAGAAAAGCAAGGAAACAACAGACAAAATTCAGAAGAGAAGTTATTTCGTGGGGAAATGAGAGGAATGTATTATGAAAGAGACACATAAAATAACCCGGTATTTCTTAAGATAGACAGTGTTTAGGTGTTTATTATTTTTTAAGCTATACATGTTACCTATTTGTATATCTATAATTTCTTAAAAACAGATATAAGAACACCATAAAATCATTTTCCTTTTATTGAAATACGTCAATCAGTAAGTAGTGACTGAGTGCTTTGCCAAAGAGGCCTTCACATTATCAGGACCCTACATCATGCTTTATTATAGTAGCCTATTTTATTTTGTTCACAGAATTTAACACAATTTGTGATGATTCATTTGTTACCCTAATTCCCCCATCAGGATGTAAATGACAAGACAGAAGGAATGCTACCACACAGTAGGTGCCCAATATACATTTGTTGAAGGGATAAACAAATGATAATGGTGAGTGCACACCTGCCTGTTTAGGGTCTCAGCCCTCTGCAGCATGCAACTACAATACACAGCTTATGCCTTCAACAAGTTTACAAGTTAGAGGAAGAAAGCAAATACTAAACAATGAAAGAATATGACACACCTTCATATAATAAGTGGTAATGATGCAGTCTTCAGGTGTGACATGAATTAAAGACAAACAAAATTAGAACAATGTTAACTAGTGAAGTCTGGGAGAACTTCACAACATAAGGAGACTTGAGCTGAGTATTTAAGGATAGTAAGAATAAAAAATCCTGTGGAAGGTAATGTATCCAGTGAGGCAATGAAGAGAAGCTGAAACAGAAACGCGTGTGATCTGCAAAGACAGTGAGAGGCAGGCATAATTTTTTTAGAGCAGGAAACGTTGGCTGGTCCACCAATCCCATTCTTCACCCACTTGAAAATCTCCAAAGTTAGCAAACAAAATAAATTTAGGAAGTAAAATCATATTCCAGAACAGCTCATAAACAGTCAAAACTCTAATTACTAATCTTTACGTATAAAGGAAAAATGCCAAATCTATTGAAAGCGCAGCCAGGAGTCCAGCCTAACTAACACACAGGACGCATGTGATAGAGGAGGCAAGGCCAGCAAAGCAGGCTAGAGGGAAAGCGTAACAGGGAAGCGACAGGCAAGAGGATCTGCAAGAATCCAGCTTGGCAAATAGAGATGCTGGCCTGACCTAGGGTGGAGGCTACAGGAAGAAAGGAAAAAGGAAAAGAGGGCGAGAGCAAAAGAAAAATTCCAGCACTATCAATAGGCCTTGATGACGACACAGATGTGAGGGGAGAAAGGAAGCACAGATCACTTACTAACAGGACGGAGCCTGAGTGACTGAGAGACTCGTGATGTCATTTCGAACAGAGAAAGTCAAAAGGTCAGGAGGAGCTGCTCAGTAAGAGAGGTAATGAGTCAGATTTAGGATATAACACACTTGAGGAACTGGTGAGATAGCGTTCCAACATCTGGCTGGCAGATGACAACATGAAAAGAAGAGGAGAAGAGGATAGAGAAAGTTTTAGGTATCATCACTTGACAGAAAGGGGATAGCTGAATGGACATTTTTTTATACTGAACTAATTACAATTATTTGCTCTAATATTCATACCTTTTCAATGGACTATGTGTTGAGAACAAGGATTAAATTAGATTTTTCTTTGTTTATCCAGAACCTCCTTCATTGCTATGAGACAGTATAAGACAGTATTTAAGGTTCCGGTTCTAGGTTCAAATCTCAGCTCTACCACTTACTGGCTGTATGATCCTTTGTGAATTACTTATTTAGTTAACTTAGTTAATTACTTATTTCTGTGCTTAGGTTTCCTCACCTATAAAATAGGAATAGTGTCTATTCTTGGCACATTAACTCCATCCAAACCCTGCACTAAAAATCTTGACCGAAGTCTAGCATGGCTTCTGGGAGCATAAAGCTATGCCCCTAGAATGACCCTAGCTCATTATTAAAATGCCTGCCTGAGAAAACTCAAAATGCTGCCAGGAAATTTTACTACTGTTGTTTACTACTATTGTTCTAGCAGCACCTAACTATAGGCCCCTGATCTCCTTTCCTTGGAGTAGTACCAAAAGGGGCTCACAGTTGTGAACAGGTATCTCTTGCAACTCAGAAGTATCTCTCTCAAGGATTTCAGAGCCATTCCCTTGAAAAGTAATAATCAGGAAGGATCCAGCCTGTTTCCATGGCAGGATAGAAACTTCGGAAACTTTTTAACTCTGGTAACTGCCAGCTAGCAGCTAGTATGCGCTGACCAATCCTTTGTAATTTTCACCCCTGACTCAACAGAGCCGCCCTCTAGCCACCTCCCCATTCTCCCTTTAAAACACCCAAATCACTTCTGCACAAATCAGAATAAAGCTCAGCTCTTTCCCCTACTGTCAGTAGTTACTAAATAAAATCTGTTTTTAACACTTTAATGACTGGCTGTGTTAATCTTGGGCACTACATCATAACGCTAAGAGGATTAAATATGCCTATTATTACATTACTGCTAATTTCCAAAAGAGCAAAGTCAGAATGGTTTATGAAGACAAAGAAAAGGTGAGGGCTCTCAAAGAAACTATCTTACGCCATTCCATCCAAGATCGTCATCTTTGGAATAGCATTTTTGCAGTATGCAATGGAGATTAAGAGGGAAATGCACTAAGAATTTTTCTTTAAAACATCACATGAGGAAAGACTAAGTGGAAGAAATGAGAAAAAAGATGCTGAACATGTCTTCTTAAAAGTCTAACACTAAGAGTCCAGCACCAGCAGATGGAGCCTCATGATCACACTTCACCCTCTTTCCTTTCTCCTTCCTTCAGTAATGCAGTAGTATTACAGGTGTAGCTTTGGAGGCTCGTTTATTCCCCATTCCTGTGACTTGGCAATGCACTGGCCCAGCAGGTGTGAATTTCCTCAAAAAGGAATTGTCTGCGACCAGCAGCTGAGGTCTGGAGGTGCCCCCTTCCTAACAAAGCCACTCCTTTTGCCAAGGAATTTACACTGTTGCACAATGGCTTTGGAAGGTCCTTGCCAGTTACGGGATGTTACAGGAATGAGGTCACTATTTACTACAATATTAGCCTTAGTGAATCCAGTCTAATTCCATCCAGCCTAAGCACACTTTGTAGGATAACAAGATTTAGAAATCACACATGCTCTGCTGCTAAGTTCAACTCCAATGTAGCCTACCGGATACTACCCTACAGTAATGGCAGTATGTGTCTCCCTGGCCTCCTTGAACAACAAAAGTTCCTACAACCAACCAAGCAGATAAACAAATATTCGTTTTCTTGTGTGTAAATTATACTTACTTAATAGCAAAGATCAGAAAGAACTCAAATTCCTATTAAATGAGCCCCGATCATAAAGTATCACACAGGTATACAGGATACACATACAAATCTCTAGGACATACAAGAAATTAGTGAAAGAGGTTGCCACCAGGAAGGGGAAATGGGTAGATGGGTACAAGAATGAGAGGGAACGTTCCTGCTTTTTAACTTTTGAATCTAGTAGCTATTGAAATATCATTACCTATGAAAGGAAATGAAAATTTTAAATGATTAGAAAAAACTGACCCCATCAGTTGTCATACCACCCCATTTTAATTCTTTGAGGAATACCTAATTCTATATTTTTGTATGCCATCATTAATTTGCTTATTGTTTGCCTCCTGTAATTTAATAGAAAGTAAACTATTAAAGTATTTAGTCAGTATTGCTCACCATGGAGCACTCAGCACCTAGAACAGGATCTAGCACCTAGTAGGCATTCAATAAACGTTTATCGACATACACTTACTAAACCTACTACCCTTGCCATCTTACCTCCTCAACCTCTTCTTCAGAATTCTGAGTTTGGTGTCTCTCTTCAATGTTTTCATTAATATTTGGTGTATCCCTATCTCTGCAGTTTTCACACTGTATTGTAACTGATTGTGTGCTAGGCTCACCCAGGGGGCCTTTTCCTCACTGGACTGGCATGAGTCAAAAAAGCCACGGAAAGGCCGACATAATACTTCCTAGGCTGCAACCGTCAGTGCTCAACCCCAAAGGGAAAAACAGATCCGCAACAAACACGAACACGGGCAAGTCAAATACCGACGGGACAGCCCAGGGCACGCACACTCTTACCGCCCTCGCACCGCAACACAGCACCGCCCGGGCCAACCCTCTTCTCCGCACGCTCTCAGCCCGTACGCGACAGAGGAGGCCGGCAGAGGCAGACAAGAGAAAGCGGCGATTTGCAGGCATCAAGCCGGCCAGTAAGGAGTGCCACAAACTGCCTCGGCTCAGGATGGCTTCTCGCCACGTGAGTATTCGCTCCTTCAGCCAGCCACTCCAATTTACCCCTGAACTCTGCGGCGAGTACACCCACAGCATCTCGCCTGGGCGCAGCCATGTTGGATAAAACTGGACTACATTTCCCATGAGCCTGCAGGGCGATGACCGGAACTCCCACAACCCCTTTCGCTTCCCCCAGTCGCATTACGGAACGCTTTTCAGCCAGTAGACCGCTCTACCGATACTGTGAAAATTCAGTTGTCCTATTTTGGGTTATAATAAGGTTTGTGAGTGCAGCATATTTGGGGTACCTCCCCCAGATGGATACAGTCAAACAGGTGTATCTCTAGGCGTCAGTAATCCTCCCCACCCACCCCCACCCGCCCTCCGCTCTTTGCGCATCTTTCCTCCTGACTCTTATTAGAAGGATGGGAGAGGCCCCTGGGGGTGTGAACGATGACGTCGCATGGGAGAAAGAAAGAGGTGAATATACGTGAGCTTGCCAGGCGAATGGTGAGTACCACAGAGTGGTAGGAAGGTGTGTGGAAGAATGTTGGGGAGGTTGGACAGGAAAGATTTTGGAGGACTATGCCATTCTATTCTGTAAGCCTAAGGGGTCTCTGGGGGGTTCTATGGGCAGAGCTTCTGGTGGAAGGTGGGAAGAGAGACTAAAAGTAAGAACACAGTGAAAACTAAACTATTAACTAGAACACAGCAGTGGCAGACGGAAAGGGCAAAGATGTAGTAACAGATCAGAAATAACAGAAATTGTATTAGGAGCTGTGTGCATGTAGGGAAGGAAACTTGAGAGTGGGTCGGAAATCCCTTCCCTGCAGTGCTGGTACAATGCCCCTATCCGAATCCAACCACAGTAGACTACCAGTAAACGTTAAGGCTGGCCAGCTAGAAAAAGTGGCACTGAAAGAGTGCTATTAAGTGAAGAAATGGTTAATAGGAATAGAAAATAGGTTAGAAAGAGGAAAGAACAGAAGCTGACAGGCAGATAGACAGAGATTGCAATAGTCCAGGAGAGGGTGAAGCTAAAACTGAACAGCAGAAGTGAAGAGGCATGTGCAAGCTAGAAAGGCTCATCAGCGAGACATTGTAAAGTACTGAAGGGTATAAGGGAAAGCATGTTCCATCTCCCCACTGCAGTTTTGCTCCTGCACTACCAGATGCTTTGAAAAACATTCCAGTAGAACTTTAATGATAGAAATGTTTTGAGTTGTCCAGCGTGATAACCACTAGCCACGTGTGGCTTTTGAGCATTTCAAATTTGGCTAGGCAACTAAGGAACTGAATTTCGAATTTTTAAAAATTTTAGTTTTAACTAATTTAAAGTTAAATAACTACATGTGGCTAGTGGCTACCAAACTGGACAACAGTGTAACATATCCCCTTACCTCCTATTAACCAAATTCAGTTCTTTCATCTGCATATCCACTCTGCTTGAAAGTACTGAACCTTTTAAAGCTTTGGATTGCCTAGCCTCTGTGCAACTCCTCTCTCCTATTTGTCATCACATACTGATGACGTGTTTTCAGAGTTTTTTTACTAGCTTCCCTCCATCTTTTCACAATTAAATGCAGGCACTCTTTCAGGTTTTGTTTCACCCTGTTCTCTTATTTTAGCCTTTCCCTATCTGCTTCTCCAGAGTTTTAGAGCTTTGTGAATAATTCTCAAATCATATCATCAACCCTGGCTTCCCTTTAGAAGGCAGTTTAGTTTAGTGAAAACAATGATGGGCATTAGAGCTAATGAACTGAAGTAGAAACTGCAAAATAGAATTTACCTTTTAGGATTGGTGTAATAGTTAACTCTCGTACATAAAGTAGATGTTAAACGATTGTTCGTTCCTTTTCTACTCTTTTGCTCCTGAGTTACCGGCCCAAATTTCCAACCACCTGCTGTCCATCCTTGCCTCCATATCCTTAGAAAAAAATGTGGATACATTTAAAATTTCAGATGCAATCTTTTTTATACAGGCTCTTATCTTTTGCTGTTTCTCCCAGAGAAGATGATACCGTGAGGCAATTTTCAGCTACATTAAGGTTCTGTTGTATTTGTTATGTAACTCCAATATCTTCCATAGCCTTATAATAATAAAATTGTAATAAGTGTTGAACTGAAAAGAAATTTAATTTAATGATAGAATTCATTTTCACCTGTACCAAAAGCTTTACATGTTGACCTGTATAATTTTTTAAAGGTATTAAATGCTGACCTAATGACTCTTTCCTTAGTAAAAGCCTGTTCTCAGCTTCACGATGCATGAGTTCTGCATGTCACTAGAGCAGCGGTTAGCAAAATTTTTCCATAAAGGAACAGATAATAAATATTTTCAGCTTGGCGGCCACATATGGTCTCTGGTCATGGTTTTTTGTTTTGTTTTGTTTTTTTTAACAACCTTTAAAAATGCAAGAACCTTTCTTAACTCCCTGGCTTATCCCAGCAGGATCTGGCTCATGTGCTGTAGTTTGCTGACCCTTGGACCCTCTTCCTGGACTCTTTAATCCTGAGCACAGTCTCAAGGTAAAGCTAAGATTAGTGCCACTACGGAAGGCATTTACAGTGAAATACAGTATAAATGACTTTAATCAGATTAGCTAACACTACATTTTAAAGCATGGAATAGTAGAGGTCTGTCCTACAGTAGAGTTCCAAAATTAGGGTGATGAGCAACATATTTAGAATTGCCTTTAGTTGCCAGTGACAGAAAACTGGGCTGATTGCTTAAACAAACAGTTATTTTTCTTCAGTTGACAAGCCATCCATACAAAAGCAGTCATTGGCGCTGATTGTACTTTTCAAAACTGTCATCAGGAAACCAGGTGCTTTCATCTCCTGCTCCACCATGTATGTTGACTTTATCCTCATTCTTGATGTCTCCTGATTACAGAGTCACTGCTTCCTCTCCAGACATCTTGTTCCCAAACTATCTTCTCTAGCTGGATAAAAGGAGCAGAGTCTCCTCTTATCATCCAAGACATGAAGCTCCCAGTGGACTCCCCTTGTTTCTTTGGCCATATGGGTTGCATGCTGTGGTAAGCACAATAATGGACCCCCAAAGATATCCATACTCTTATCTTTGGAACCTGTGAAAAATGCAGATATAATTATGTTTGCAGACTTTAAAATAGATTATCTAGGAGCCAATATAACCAGACAGATTCCCTAAGAGCAGAACATTTACTCTGGCTGAGCAAGAGAGATGGAGCAGAGGAAATCAGAATACAAGTGTGAAGGATTCAGCATACCATTGCTGGCTCTGAGTTGTAAGTGTCCACGTGCAAGGACCAGAAAGGGACTTCTATAAGCTAGAGATAACACCTAACTAACAGCCAGTAAGAAAGTGGGGACCTCAGTTCCACAACCACAAGGAACTGGATTCTGCCAGCAACTGGGATAAGCTTGGAAGCAGATCCTTCCCAGAGCATCTTAATAAGAGCCCAGCGAGCCAACACCTTGGTACTTTCCTTAAGAAATGGAACAGAGAAACCACATGACCGACCCAAACTTATGGCCTGCAGAACTGTGAAATAATAAATTTGCTAATTTGTTACAGCAACAGTGGAAAACTATTACACATGCTTCACCCAGACAAATCACTAATTAAAGGGAGTGGCATTGCCTTGACTGCTTTGGGCCAGTCATGGTGAACTCCACAGGCTGCAATGAGGCCCATTGTTCCTGAGATCAAGAGATCTTGAGAAACTATGCTCTGTCTATAATTAAAATTAGTTCTGTTAGCAAGAAAAGTGGAAGAACAGCTATTGGGTAGACAACAGCATATTCCACAAGGGGGTTGAATACATCATCTGGCTGGATTATCATAATATGGTTTACCTCAAAACCTAAGAAAAAGGGATATTAGAAGAGTGAGCACTCTCATCAACTAATAAAGCATTCAAAGGTAGACGTCTAATAGCTTTACATTCCTGCTTCAAGATTCCTCATCAGAAAAAAATGGAAATGTTGCCAACAGTCCTTGAAAATTGTTCCATTTTTGCTATGGTTCCAAAATGTGATATGGTTTTACTGCAGTTTCAAATTCAACTCCTATACATAATGAGGTTCCTGGTTACCCTTTCCTTTTTCCCCCGCCTAGACCATTTGTCTTTTACTACCTTTTGACTTTTTTCCCACTTGTACCCAATGGTAAGTATATAGGTTTTGATTTTTTTCCTGTTTATGGTTAAAAAACACTTTTGTCTCTCAGCGTTTCTTCTCCATGTATTCTTCAGCTACTTATTTTATCCCTCCTGAGTAAATGACAAAGTTCCTTTCCAAACTTTTGTTTTCTCTTCTGCTTCCCTGGATTTCTGGTTTCTTAAAACTCCAACAAGAATGCATAATTTTTATGTAAAATCATTTGATGTTCACTATGACATTTCAGGGCTGAATACATTATTCATGCTCTGCTGATAAAAATTAAATGCAAAGTTTGCAGTTTTGTAAGTCATATAGTGAAAGAATTCCCGTGCAGT